ACTTTGAATTCAAGACCAGATATATCGATAGAGCTTCAAACGCTGATTACAAATATGGAAACTAAAACTGCAAAATGAACCTGCCAAGGAAGTTGTGAGCAGTCAAAGTTGGCTGGAAGTAAAGCGTTACATATGAACCGTGCTAGCCTCCGGCTTTCAAAGTCGCCGTGGAGTAGTGGTAGTGCTCTCGCTCTCCAGCCGGAGGTCACGAGTTCTCTTCCTGTTGAGTGCAATTTTGAGAGCACTACCACTACTCCACGGCGACTTGAAAGCCCGGACGCTAGCACGGTTCATATGTAATGCTTTACTTCCAGCCAACTTTGACTGCTCACAACTTCCTTGGCAGGTTCATTTTGCAGTTTTAGTTTCCATATTTGTAATCAGCGTTTGAAGCTCTATCGATATATCTGGTCTTGATTCAAAGTTCCATGGGAAGTTGAATGCCTTCCCTGGTTAGGTGAGAGGGGCAGACGAAAGCATCAAACTGACAATGAGATGGTTCAAAGGACCGAGTTCAAGTAGTCCCTAGACCGGGCAGCCGGCTTCACCTGGTCTGTGCCCCTCTGAGACAGCGATCATGGGCGCTCATGTCGTTAGAATGGATATTGAAGTAAGCGAAGCCACTTATAGAAGCTTGGACTGAGCTTTAAGTAGGAGGACGAATTCTGGTTGTCCTCCCTGGCATTTCTCCCCTTTCCTTGGTTTAGTTCTAGTGTCACCAACCAGCGGTTTTTGAATGCCCTGTTTTGAAGGTCCCCCCCCCCCCCCTGAGGACATGAGCGCCCAATCATGATTACTGACGAGCAACTTGAAATAATGACTATTTGGACGATCTTGCATGGTCCAAATTTTCCCATATGGTGAGTGATTCATCACCTTGGATTCATTTCCTCCTTGATTAAATGAGAGGTTACTAAACTCTGGAATCTGCAAGCACTCCCTGCTCAGGACTACCGTAACCCCGTCGAAATACTAAGGCTGGAAGGTTGACATCGAGGAATGGTCAAGAAAAAGTGGACAAAAATCTATCGCAGGAGTAATATTGCATGATCCGCCCATGTTTTCAAGCCAATCACATGCACTATCCCAAAGCGAAAGCTCTGAAGAAGATGAAGGATGTAAAGAGGATTCCTCGGTAAAGAATCAATGAAAGAACAACTCATGAAGAGCCTTTCGCAACCATTTGAAATGCATGAACCATGGTGACCATCCATGGGTACGTGGTTTCCTCTACCGCCACACGCACAATTGCGGACAAAACTCCCGCGACGTTCTCTTATGAAGTTAGTGTTTTTGTCTGTTGTTGTTGTTGCGTTTCTAGCTGTATTCCTATTACGTAGAACTCTCCGAAGCAGCAACAAATATGGTTCAGTCCGAGGACGACTTCGATGGAAGATGGCCGAACCATAAGAAGAAATACTGCAGGTATATGTCTGATTAACTTGTAGTTTTTACTCGGCATTACATTCAGACTTAATTTCATTCAGCAAAGAAGCAAAGATCTTTCTAGAGGAACAGAAAGAAAAAGTATGGATGTATTGAACTTTCTTCCGATACAGAGCGATCTTAATCATGAATTATCTTTATCGGCGGCTCAGGCTCGTAAAAGAAAATCCGTGTGTTTGCACAACCGTAAAGTATTTCTGATCCTATTCATTATGGGCGGCATTCAGTGAATGCAGTGTTGCTTGTGAACTGTGAACATTCCAGCTTTTCACGGCCATGTGACAGTGAACTGCCTCACCCCTGAGACTTGTACACTCTCCTGACTCAGGTATCTAGCATCTCTGAGCAAAACTGCCATCAGGGATGCTCCGTTAGCTGTAACTATTTCTTTCTATGAAGATTATCCTTCTTGATCGTTTTCGGTACCTTCATCTTCGATTTGTGGATAACATTTGAAGTCACGCAACACTGTACGGCACCACGAGCTCATGTAAATGGATCCAGGTCTTTTAACTATCACCAAACTCACAAATTGTTAATCTCCTAGCAACATAATGAACATACGTCAATTGCATGAGATTTCGCTCAATTTGTTTCTAACGTTTTTCAGTGGGGAACGCTCATTTGTCCTTGGGGGGGCATCCAAGTTTAGATACCAATTGCTGTTGATAGGACTAAACCTCCGGGCTAGCGAAAAATCTGGAGTAGGATGGTGCAATATGTTTCTCCTCGGATTTCCCCCTAATCCTGAGCTAATCCTGGTGTTACCTACATCGTAGTTTGTGAATGTCTCCCCCCCCCCCCCTCCTCAAGACTAATGAGCGCTTCAGCCGTTATGATCGCTCTCGTTCACGCACAATGTTATTTTCCTTGGATTTAAGACCATCTGTAATACTTCTAGCTGCACGGCGCGCCTTGTTAAGCATGTACTCGCGCCAACTTCAGCACAACAAGAAGAGGAAATAGCTGCGAAAAGAAGGAAACAAGTAGAGGATAAAAGAACCGAAGAGTCGAGGAAAACATTGCTTGAGAAACATGCTGAACTTAAAGAAATGGATGCTGGTGAGCCTCGTTATATTCTACATGGTCGCGCGAATGTCGTGGAACCCGATCGCTCACGAATTTTCGCTTTCCAATTCTTGTCCTCACGCTGTTTTTCTACTGCTCCTATTATTCGACGTTCTGTGCTCACAAAACACGTGACGTAATTTGCCTCTCTTATAATGTATGACTTTTTTTTCATCTCATTACTGCGTCCTCAAGGCGCCTTTGGCAGGCACTTCACGAGATTTCCGAGGTTATCAACGAGCAACCTGTAGTTTTAGCACCATGATGATAAGGTTTAAGATTAGCGAACCTACGTCATACATGGAGTGGAATATCGTAAGAGAATGGCACCTTTACATACCCACCCTCATCATGCCTATCTTCTTGTCCTTCTTCATTCCTTACTTTCACCTCTTTCACCTTCATTCCTTTCTCTCACACTGCTTCACACCTTTATAGCACCTATGTATTCTTGATGATTTAGGTGTTGAATATTCAGTTCTTGCCTTTTGTTCCAGAAATGGATCCCAAAGAAAGGCAAAGATTAGAGGAAGAGATCCTGCTGGAGAGTGTCACACAGAACAGCGCTCTCCATGCTGCTGTGGAGATTGCTCATGGGTTACAATATACCGAGTCTTTTCGCACATCGTATGTAACATTCCGTTCTTTTCCAAATCGTTTCATCCCTTTTTGAATCAGTACATCTCCACATGTCCTTTCAAATGTTTCATCGAGCATTATTTCCTTCTACCTGCTCATCGTACTATATTTTGACTGGGCGTCCGAGCCCTCTCACATTCGGAACCAAACGGAAGAGGATTTTGAGGCTTATAGGAAGAGAAAGGGAATAAGTGTGGACGGAATTGACTGCCCACCTCCTATTGGGAGCTTTGTGGTAAGTTTTTACTTGGCTGCAAGGTGTCTCGCTTATATTCTGCTACAAACATCCTTATATCTACTGTAGAATGCAGAATATAAGATTTCATATATTTTCTATACTTTATTGTGCTTTTCAAGGAAATGAAGTTCCCGAAGTGTATCCTACGTGCGCTGAAGGATAATGACATTCACATTCCAACTGCGATACAGATCCAAGGAATCCCTGTGGCGTGAGTTCACTGTTTTCACTTCTAAGCTCACCTCTTCCTTCTTTGGGAACTACCTGAACTTTCTAAAAATTTCTTTCCGCTGCAGCCTCTGTGGTCGGGATATGATTGGCATAGCGTCAACAGGTTCTGGAAAAACATTGACGTTCGCGTTGCCATTGATAATGTTTTGCCTGGAGCAGGAGTACATGATGCCGTTCGAACGTGGAGAAGGGCCCTATGCTTTGGTCATTGTGCCATCGGTGAGCTCGTACTTGTTTTCATATTCTTTTTTTTTCAAGATAGCTCTAGACGTTAACTCAGCTGCTAGATTTTTTGTGACCAATTAGGGGTTTCAGTCTATGTTCTTACACTTGCACGTAAAATTATTTTTTAAGCGAGAATTGGCCAGACAGATTTATGACGTTATTGTGGACTTATTTCAAGCGATTGAACGTGATTCCAATATGCCTAAAGCTGAAAGCAGGACTATGCATTGGCGGCGTTCCTGTCCGAGAGCAAGCTCAGGTCTTCAAGGAGTAAGTGAACATGGTTTCGTGTCTGCAGGTGTTTACCTGCCGCCATTTCTAAGAAGGAATCGATATTTTAGTGGTGTACATGTCTGTGTTGCTACACCTGGCCGTTTGTCAGATATGCTTACAAAGAAGATTTTCAATTTGGAGGTATGTCTGCTTAGACTAAACACTCCGTTGGCTCGAATTTCGCCACAGGCAATTATTTATGCTAAGAGCTCAGCAGCTTTTGACGAAAACTGCTGTACTTACTAACACCGGGAAACAGAATTTCCACAGTTGTGTGCTTTTTTTACGAAATATAGCGTTTCAGGTGTGCCGTTACTTAGTGCTTGATGAAGCCGATAGAATGTTGGACATGGGTTTTGAAGATGAATTAAAGTCAATTTTTGCGTTCTTCAAAGTGAGTTGAAATTTGAATTAGTGCTCTCTGCAGTATACTGTTAGGTTTTTAGGCCCAACGACAAACTCTTCTGTTCTCAGCCACGATGCCGAAGAAAATTCAGAACTTTGCCAAATCTGCTCTAGTTCGACCTGTGGTGAGCTTATCTCTCTTAATTACCCGTATT